TTGTTCTTCCGTCTACCTGGTGTGTTCTCCTGTTGTTCTTCCTACTACCTGGTGTGTTCTTCCGTCTACCTGGTGTGTTCTTCGGTCTACCTGGTGTGTTCTTCCTACTACCTGGTGTGTTTTCCGTCTACCTGGTGTGTTCTTACGTCTACCTGGTGTGTTCTTCCGTCTACCTGGTGTGTTCTTCCGTCTACCTGGTGTGTTCTTTCCACTACCTGGTGTGTTCTTCCGTCTACCTGGTGTGTTCTTCCGTCTACCTGGTGTGCTCTTCGGTCTACCTGGTGTGTTCTTTCTACTACCTGGTGTGTTCTTCCGTCTACCTGGTGTGTTCTTACGTCTACCTGGTGTGTTCTTCCTACTACCTGGTGTGTTTTTCCGTCTACCTGGTGTGTCTTACGTCTACCTGGTGTGTTCTTCCTACTATTGTGTTCTTCCTACTACCTGGTGTGTTCTTCCGTCTACCTGGTGTGTTCTTCCGTCTACCTGGTGTGTTCTTCGGTCTACCTGGTGTGTTCTTCCTACACCTGGTGTGTTCTTCCTACTACCTGGTGTTCTTCCGTCTACCTGGTGTGTTCTTCACCACCTGGTGTGTTCTTCCGTCTACCGGTGTGTTCTTCTCTACCGTGTTTTTCTACTGGTGGTCTTCCCCTACCTGGTGTGTTCTTCCTACTACCTGGTGTGTTCTTCCGTCTACCTGGTGTATTCTTCCGTCTACCTGGTGTGTTCTTCCGTCTACCTGGTGTGTTCTTCCTACTACTTGGTGTGTTCTTCCGTCTACCTGGTGTGTTCTTCCGTCTACCTGGTGTGTTCTTTCTACTACCTGGTGTGTTCTTCCTACTACCTGGTGTGTTCTTCCTACTACCTGGTGTGTTCTTCCGTCTACCTGGTGTGTTCTTCCTACTACCTGGTGTGTTCTTCCATCTACCTGGTGTGTTCTTCCGTCTACCTGGTGTGTTCTTCCATCTACCTGGTGTGTTCTTCCTACTACCTGGTGTGGTCTTCCATCTACCTGGTGTGGTCTTCCGTCTACCTGGTGTGGTCTTCCGTCTACCTGTTCTTCTGTGTTCTTCTGTTCTCCTATTGCGTTCTTTTATTCCTCCTGTTCACTCTCCTCTCCTGTGTAGGCCCTCGCGTTTCTTTCTTTCTTTCTTGAACACGGGGATAATGATAAATATAACCAAGGGAAGAGGAGGAGGAGGAAAAGGGGAAAGACAGGGAGGGGGGACTCAGGACTAGCCATCGTGGTGCGTCATTGTTGGTATCACTGGGTGTGTCTCAGTCATACCTCCAGCACAGCACACCTACTTGTACGAGGACCAGTTCGGTGTCGAGGAGTGGGTGGGTGAAGGATTGTTTGTTGACTGACTGGCTCCTGGTGGGTGGGTTGAGTGGGTGGGGGTTGAGTGGGTGGTTAGTGATTTGTAATGAGTAAAGATAATTGTGTGTGCGTGTGGGTAGTGAGTCTATTGTGTGTGTGTGTGTGTGTGAGATAGCATCCAAAGGCACCTTAAACATTCTTGAGAACCCTTGATGGGGAGGAGGGTCAGAGGGAGGGACGGAGGAAGGAAGGGAGGAACAGAGGAATGGAAAGGGAGGGATAGAGGGAAGGAAGGGGAGGAACGGAGGGAGAAAGGAAGGGGAGACGGTGGAGAAGAAAAGAGGGAAAGGGAGACAAACATGGTATCATCTCCCTCCTGTCTTAACCCTCCTCCTCCTCCTCCTCCCTCACCACCTCACCTCCCCCCCTCCTTCCCTCACCTCCACATAAACCCCACTAACACTTGTCACCCCCCCCACCCCTCTCCCCCCCTCTCCCCCACTGGTGCCGGAACGCGGATGCGACCACGTAGTATTGTCAACTTACAGTCCTGCCAATTGTGTTTCCTGTATGACACTAACGCGACACCTACCTACCGCCACCCCTCCCCCCTCCTCTCTCTCCCTCGGTCACCTACCCCTGCGGCCCCCCCTCTTTCTCTCCCTCTCTCCTCCGTCACCTATCCTCTCCCTCCCTCCCAATCCTACTGAGTTAGGGTGTTGGTTGTGTGGTGGTGGACACGTGTGTGTGGTACAGGACATGGGTGTGTGGTGGTGTGGTACAGGACATGGGTGTGTGGTGTGGTACTAGGACATGAGTGTGTGGTGGTGTGGTACTAGGACATGAGTGTGTGGTGGTGTGGTACTAGGACATGGGTGTGTGGTGGTGTGGTACTAGGACATGGGTGTGTGGTGGTGTGGTACTAGGACATGGGTGTGTGGTGGTGTGGTACTAGGACATGAGTGTGTGGTGGTGGTACTAGGACATGGGTGTGTGGTGGTGTGGTACTAGGACATGGGTGTGTGGTGGGTGTGGTACTAGGACATGGGTGTGTGTGCTAGGACATGGGTGTGTGGTGGTGTGGTACTAGGACATGGGTGTGTGGTGGTGTGGTACTGGGACATGGTGTGTGGTGGTGTGGTACTGGGACATGAGGTGTGTGGTGGTGTGGTGCTGGGACATGGGTGTGTGTGGTGGTGTGGTACTAGGACATGGGGTGTGTGGTGGTGTGGTACTAGGACATGGGTGTGTGGTGGTGTGGGACATGGGTGTGTGGTGGTGTGGTACTAGGACATGGGTGTGTGGTGGTGTGGTACTAGGACATGAGTGTGTGGTGGTGTGGTACTAGGACATGGGTGTGTGGTGGGTGTGGTACTAGGACATGGGTGTGTGGTGGTGTGGTACTAGGACATGGGTGTGTGGTGGTGTGGTACTAGGACATGGGTGTGGTGGTGTGGTACTAGGACATGGGTGTGTGGTGGTGTGTACTAGGACATGGGGTGTGTGGTGGTGTGGTACTAGGACATGAGTGTGTGTGGTGGTGTGGTACTAGGACATGGGTGTGTGGTGGTGTGGTACTAGGACATGGGTGTGTGGTGGTGTGGTACTGGGACATGGGTGTGTGGTGGTGTGGTACTAGGACATGGGTGTGTGTGGTGGTGTGGTACTAGGACATGGGTGTGTGGTGGTGTGGTGCACTAGGACATGGGTGTGTGGTGGGTGTGGTACTAGGACATGGGTGTGTGGTGGTGTGGTACTAGGACATGGAGTGGTGGTGGTGTGGTACTGGGACATGAGGTGTGTGGTGGTGTGGTACTAGGACATGGTGTGTGGTGGTGTGGTGGGACATGGGTGTGTGGTGGTGTGGTACTAGGACATGGGTGTGTGGTGGTGTGGTGCTAGGACATGGGTGTGTGGTGGTGTGGTACTGGGACATGGGTGTGTGGTGGTGTGGTACTAGGACATGGGTGTGTGGTGGTGTGGGTGGGACATGGGTGTGTGGTGGTGTGGTACTAGGACATGGGTGTGTGGTGGTGTGGTACTAGGACATGGGTGTGTGGTGGTGTGGTACTAGGACATGGGTGTGTGGTGGTGTGGTACTAGGACATGGGTGTGTGGTGGTGTGGTACTAGGACATGGGTGTGTGGTGGTGTGGTACTAGGACATGGGTGTGTGGTGGTGTGGTACTAGGACATGGGTGTGGTGGTGCCTCCTGAAGACACGCCCAGTAACATGGGCCGTTTTGTGGCACTGGGTAACACGTGGGAGCCCTGAGTGCCACATCCGGGGGTGGGGGGGGGGCAGGTGGCCCTCTTAATGGCTGTTTGTATGGAGACTTAAGTTGTTCCTCCTCCTCCTCTTCCTCTTTATTCTGTTTACTCCTCTTCTTCTCCTCCTCCTCTCCTTCTTCTTCTTTACTCCTCTTCTTTACTCCTCCTTCTTACTCCCTCCTTCCTTGTTACCCTCCTCCTCCTCCCCTTCCCCTCCTCCCCTTCCCCCTCCTCCTCCCCTCCTCCTCCCCTCCTCCTCCTCCCCTTCCCCCTCCTCCCCTTCCCCCCTCCTCCTCTTCCCCCCTTCCCCTCTTCCCCCCCTTCCCCTCCTCCTTCCCCCCCTCCCCCTCCCTCCATCATCATCTGTAAGTCATTCACACACCGTGGACTCGTTCCACCAGTTCAAGCTTCAAACGGTAACACGTAAAGACTCATTATAATACACTAATCACCATATATATCTGTTGTTTACCTTTATATAACAGGTAACGGTAAGAGTATCATTCACAACTGTTGTAAATAATGATACGTAATGGGGTTATAGTTATTGTGTTGTATTTACGTGTATGATAGTGGTTGTTTATCATCCTGTTGTATTTGTGTATGGTAACCTAATTGTATATTTACGTATACCTGTGCCGTGTTAATACCCAGTGATGTTATAGTGTATTACTCAGGCAACTTCTGTAGCTCGCTGTTCCTGGTGTATGTTGCTTACTGTAGTGTTGTAAGTAGAGGTTAATGTTATGTTACCGGATCATTAACTATTTGGATGATATTTAACCTTATTTTTATTAATTTTGGGGGTAATTAAACCTTATTTTGTTAACTTTAGCTAATTTATTTAACAAAGTTTTTAAGTGTTCTTTATACACACACAAACACAGCGCCGTGTTCTTTCAGTAAACTACAAATTATTGACATTATTGTTATTATTATTATATATCCCAATGCACGCACTTGCACTGCTGCACGCACACACCCACCACAGCACCACACACCACCGCACACACCACCACACACACCCACCACCGCACTGCACACACACACACACACCACCGCACGCACACACGCAAGCACCATCATGCCAACATAACCACTGATATGAGTCGAGTAAAAATGTTGAATTATATCATGTTATGGTTGAGGCGCTGCTGAACTGAGAAAGGTGTGGAGTCAGACATAGGTGTGGTGGACTGTGGGGAGCTACCTGCCTCCTGTAGTGTGTGTGTGTGTGTGTGTGTGTGTGTGTGTGTGTGTGTGTGTGTGTGAACAAGATATACATACACAATTCACACAAATTATAACTACAGTCGATCAATGAGTAAATTAGAAAGGTAAGTACAGTAGGAGTGGGTGAAGGAGGTGTAACACAAAGAGATATTTATGAAGGGTTTGTGGTGTTGTCCCAGCAGGAGAAGCGGCCATCGAGGGACATAGAGACGGAAACAGAACCGGAGGAGGTGTTGGCGGTGGAGGCTGGAGGCTCGTCTTGTTCCCTGTCCTCTGTGTCTGCCTCACTATCTGATAAGAGCGTCTCCACTGATAACATAGAAGAGATCAAAGTGACGTCCTTTGCTGGTAGTACCCGAGAGAGAGAGAGAGACCGATGTTTTGTCCAATTAATATTTAAAGCACTTGTTGGAGGTTTAGTGTCAGTGTTTTGTCCAATTGGAGTATATCATTGCTTGTTGTGGTTACGCTATCCATTGTATACACACTCGAGGGCCGTCTTGAAGGTCCAGTGTGTCGGGTTCCATGGAGGTTACATTGTACTTGTTTATATCGGGATCTATTGCACTTCCTCATAGGGTTCCATTGCACTTCCTCATATTGAATCCCATTGGAGCATTCCATATATTCTCTGTATTGGGTTCCTACATATCAAGAGTGTTCCTTCAAGCTGAAACTTGACATGGCGGCTGGAGATATCACTTGGTATATGACGTCCCTGAGGGGAGCTTATTGTAGTCTTGTTGTTGTTGGTGGTGGTGGTTGTTGTTGTTGTTGGTGGTGGCGGTGGTGGTTGTTGTTGGTGGTGGTAGTGCTGGTTGTTGTTGGTGGTAGTGGTGGTTATTATTATTGTTGTTGTTGTTGTTGTTGTTGTTGTTAGTGGCGGTGGTTGTTGTTTTATGTGACGGCGTTTTATACGTGACGGCATTACTCAGTGACTCACTCGGTCTCTGACGGAGTGAGATTTATTTATAACTTTACGGTAGTTAAGTTTTTGTTCTGATTACGATTTTTCTCTCTCTCTCTCTCTCTCTCTCGTTTCCAAATAGGTGGTAGTGAGGAAGTGAGATAAAGAGATAGTGGTGATTTGATTTTGATTTGCCGCTTGCAGCAGCTACTTTAATGCACCCACTCATCCTGTGAGCGGTAGCGCAAAGGATTACAGTAGGGTTTACAAGGGTCATAATAATTAACCCGGTTGTCAGGATATTATGGCACCGAGTTACACAGTATTTCATTTACATTATTTGTTTAGTTCTATACATGAGGTGCTTATTCACAAATGCGTGAGAACAGGCGTGTGAGGCAGTATGTCTGGCCTCACACTTTATTATCACATTTACGTGGGAGGTATTCAAGCATTGCGTACCTCCCACAAGTAAATGTGAATAATGGGAGGTGAGGTAGTGAGAGATGGAGATATAGTGACATTCATACGATAACCTGCTGTTGACCTGCTAACTAGGCCCCTCTTGTGTACACCCGGAAATTCTCTCCCCTCCTTCATCCTCCCTTCATCCCCCCTCCCCTTCATCCCCCCCCCCTTCATCCCCCCTCCCTTATTCCCTCTTTCCCTCATCCCCCCTCCTCCCCCTCCCCTCTCCCCCCTCCCCTTCATCCCCCTCCTCTCTCCCCTCCTCCTCTCTCCTTCCTCCCCTCTCTCTCCTCGTATAATGGCTAAGCTCTGTCTGATAATCTCTCTATGGTCTAAGGCGTGCGGTACTCCTGTCATAGTTTGTTAGTGATGCCGGTTGTTTGGGGAGCTCTGGCGGTAACTAGAGGGTGCGGTGCGGGTGAGATGCCGGGTGCAGTGGTCTAGTGGGTAACGCTCGGTTTCAGTTCATAGTTCGGGTTAGTGAAGCTGTGATAGGAGGTGCAGGTGTGTGGTGGGAGATGCAGGTGTGTGGTAGGAGATGCAGGTGTGCAGTGGGAGGGTAACACGTGTGGACTTGATTGCCATGTATTGTTGTGGTGGCAAGTGGCTGCTGCTGCTGTGTTGGGCGTGGGAGATGGCGTGTGTGTGGGCGTGGAGTGCTTGTGTCATCAGGGTCAACAGGGAGGCGTGGGGGACTGACTGGCTGGCTGGCTCAAGTTCAAGTCCCGGACCCGAATGTATGTATGTATGTATGTATGTATGTATGTATGTATGTATGTATGTATGTACGTTTTGGACACTCTTGATTCTGTATGGTTGAGTTTGCTGTACAAGGTTGGGTTAGGTTAGGTTCTGGAAAAGATGAATATTTGTGCAATACCAATTTATATGACTTAATTCCTTTAAAACTTATAAAACACAGTTAAACAGACACAGTAGTTAACTCCCCCATAACTACTTCATATTTAACTAAAAACTACTCCCAAATTCTCTGTTGTTTGTTTATTTATTCATCACGCGTACAAAATGGCCCACTATGACGTCATATACGGAATCAGGCTTAACACACACTCGTACATTTAAGGAAAAAAAACAAAACATTGCTTCTGGATGTTGTTGATTCACCTCACTAGACAGCCTTGTAAACACGTGATGTAAACAACTCTGCTGGTGGCTGGTAGAGGTTTGGTTAGGTTAGGTTAGGTTGGGTTAGGTTAGGACAGGACCCTAGTGAAAATGTATTAGTTGCGACACTGACACACTCCCCCTCCTCCTTTCCTCTCTCTCCCTCCTCCTTCTTTCCTTTCCTCCTCCTTCCTTCCTTTTCTCCTCCACTCTACTCCCTCCCCCCTCTCCCTCCTTTCTTCCTTTTCTTCCCTCCTTCCTCCCTCCTTTCTCCCTCCCTCCCTCCTTCCTTCCTTCCTTCCTCCCTCCCTCCTTCACCTCCTTCCTTCTCCCTCTCATATGATCTGCTGCCAAACTCCTTTACCTCTACACCTGGGTTACCATTTCGTAGACACCAATAACACCATCAACCACCTCTACTACCACCATCTCCACCACTACCACCATCACCACCACCACCACCACCACCACCACCACCACCACCACCACCACCACCACCACCACCTACCACTACTACCCACCACCTACCATCACCACCACCACCACCACTACTACCACCATCACCACCACCACTACTACTACCACCACCACCCTACTACTACTACCACCTATACTATACCCCCACCACCACCACCACCTACTACCCACCACACTACCACCACCACCACCGGCACGTGATAGGCTGGTGAGTTTCACACAACACCGCTGATGGCTCATATCTGTACTAGCTGTGATTGGTGGTGATTGGTTGATGGTGGTTGTGGTGTGATTGAGTTTGTTGGTTGTGGTGGTGTAGGTAGTTAACGCTAGCACTGTGGTGGCATGTATGGGTAGTCCTGATTCTGGCTGGCACTGTGGTAGGCATGTATGGGAGTAGTCCTGGTTGACTCTGGCTGGCACTGTGGTAGGCATGTATGGGGTAGTCTGGTTGACTCTGGCTGGCACTGTGGTAGGCATGTATGGGGTAGTCTGGTTGACTCTGGCTGGCACTGTGGTAGGCATGTATGGGGTAGTCCTGGTTGACTCTGGCTGGCACTGTGGTAGGCATGTATGGGGTAGTCTGGTTGACGCTGGCTGGCACTGTGGTAGGCATGTATGGGGTAGTCCTGGTTGACGCTGGCTGGCACTGTGGTAGGCATGTGGGGTAGTCCTGGTTGACGCTGGCTGGCACTGTGGTAGGCATGTATGGGGTAGTCTGGTTGACTCTGGCTGGCACTGTGGTAGGCATGTATGGGGTAGTCCTGGTTGACGCTGGCTGGCTGTGGGGCATGTATGGGGTAGTCCTGGTTGACTCTGGCTGGCTGTGGTAGGCATGTATGGGGTAGTCTGGTTGACTCTGGCTGGCACTGTGGTAGGCATGTATGGGGTAGTCCTGGTTGACGCTGGCTGGCACTGTGGTAGGCATGTATGGGGTAGTCCTGGTTGACGCTGGCTGGCACTGTGGTAGGCATGTATGGGGTGAGTCCTGGTTGACGCTGGCTGGCACTGTGGTAGGCATGTATGGGGTAGTCCTGGTTGACGCTGGCTGGCACTGTGGTAGGCATGTATGGGGTAGTCCTGTTGACTCTGGCTGGCACTGTGGTAGGCATGTATGGGGTAGTCCTGGTTGACTCTGGCTGGCACTGTGGTAGGCATGTATGGGGTAGTCCTGGTGACTCTGGCTGGCACTGTGGTAGGCATGTATGGGGTAGTCCTGGTTGACTCTGGCTGGCACTGTGGTAGGCATGTATGGGGTAGTCCTGGTTGACTCTGGCTGGCACTGTGGTAGGCATGTGGGGGTAGTCCTGGTTGACTCTGGCTGGCACTGTGGTAGGCATGTATGGGGTAGTCCTGGTTGACTCTGGCTGGCACTGGTAGGCATGTATGGGGTAGTCCTGGTTGACTTTGGCTGGCACTGTGGTAGGCATGTATGGGGTAGTCCTGGTTGACGCTGGCTGGCACTGTGGTGGGCATGGGGTAGTCCTGGTTGACTCTGGCTGGCACTATGGTAGGCATGTATGGGGTAGTCCTGGTTGACGCTGGCTGGCACTGTGGTAGGCATGTATGGGGTAGTCCTGTTGACGCTGGCTGGCACTGTGGTAGGCATGTATGGGGGGTAGTCCTGGTTGACGCTGGCTGGCACTGTGGTAGGCATGTATGGGGTAGTCCTGGTTGACTCTGGCTGGCACTGTGGTAGGCATGTATGGGGTAGTCCTGGTTGACTCTGGCTGGCACTGGTAGGCATGTATGGTAGTCCTGGTTGACTCTGGCTGGCACTGTGGTAGGTGATGGGGTAGTCCTGGTTGACTCTGGCTGGCACTGTGGTAGGCATGTATGGGGTAGTCCTGGTTGACTCTGGCTGGCACTGTGGTAGGCATGTATGGGGGTAGTCCTGGTTGACTCTGGCTGGCACTGTGGTAGGCATGTATGGGGGTAGTCCTGGTGACTCTGGCTGGCACTGTGGTAGGCATGTATGGGGTAGTCCTGGTTGACTCTGGCTGGCACTGTGGTAGGCATGTATGGGGTAGTTCTGGTTGACTCTGGCTGGCACTGTAGGCATGTATGGTAGGTATGGTGGTAAGTTGACCTGGTGCCACTGACCAGGAGGCCGTGCCGTGGTGATGCCAAGTAATGTGCCAACAGAGCGACAGGCCTGACCAAGTCTGTCACACATAACTCATATACGTGTGTGTGTGTGTGTGTGTGTGTGTGTGTGTGTGTGTGTGTGTGTGTGTGTGTGTGTGTGTGTGTGTGTGTGTGTGTGTGTGTGTGTGTGTGTGTGTGTGTGTGTGTGTGTGTGTGTGTGTGTGTGTGCGTTGTTATTGTTTTAACTGTTTTTGTCTGTATGTGTGTTAGACGCATCCAAATGATCCTGTATGACATCATCACCAGTAGGTGACCTTGAGTTAGACACACACACACACACACACACACACACACACACCAGGGGTCAATAAGCCTGAGAACTGACGACCATCTTGATAAATAAATTGTACACATAATTGGTACACACATGTGACTGTTTTATAAGCGTTAATTTACATAATGAGAACCCAGTTACTACGCAGACTAGCTAACTGACTGGCTGATGGATGGATGGCTGACTGGACTGGCTAGTGTTTTGATTGTCATTCTTCCCTGTAGTTAGTCAGTCAGTCAGTTAGTCAGTTCAGTCATCTCAGCACAATGAGTCAG